AGGTATCAGTGTTCTGCCATGGCATGCCCTGGTCTACCAGTGTCATATTTTGTACTGGCAGTGAGGTCATTTCTCCCTTCAGATCTGATCAGACCAGAGAATTCCAGATTAACATGTTTTGTGTTTTTTTTTTTTCATATTATCTTTTATTTATTTATTTATTTTGTATCTGTCTAGACGGAGCTTAGAAAACAGAACCACCTGTAAATATTTCAGAATTAAAGGGTTTACTATTATATTTAGAACTTACATGAATGGTGGGAGAACTGGGGGAGAATAGGGAGGAGGGGGTCATTGCTAAAGGCTTGAAAATCTGTAGGTGGAAAGTTACCCAAAGCAACAAAGTTGGTAGTTTATCAGGAAGTGCTATGGTTCTTTGAAGACTCCCACCAAAATTGCCTACTGAAACACCAAAGCAGGTAATTTATTAGAAACCTCTTAGGAATCTCACATTGCCCACATGTCTGGACACAACCACCACTGGAGAACGCTAGACTCTTTCCTTTTCTTCAGCATTCCAGATCTTGTATGGATGTCTCTGATTGGCAAACTCAAATGGGAAGGGGATTCTGGACAGTGTTATTTCTTGGCTTCTCTGTCATGCAGAGGAAACCTTTGATGAGGAGTAATGCTTATGTGAGGACATGATCCAGCACATCTCCCTCCATTCTGCTGCTTGGTTCACTGTACACGTGCCAGAAGCAACGTTGGGAGGCCTGCTGCTAGGGAGAAACATTTGCAAGACGTAAATAAGGGTATTACTTATATCTGTAATGTCAAAGAGCTCCCATGAGTCAATAAGAAAAGCACACAATTAGAAAAATGAGCAGAGAATATGAACAGACAGATCAAAAAATAAATACAAATGGCTAGTATGTGTAAATTCAGTCTACTTGGGATTAAGGAAATGAATTTTAATTTTGTAATTTTAATCTCAAAAGAAGAAGTTTTCAAAAGTACAGTAAATAATGATTATTTACTAGGCCCAAATTTAGTCTCATCAATGTTAAGGTACTGTTCAAGCATCAAGACAGTCTCATTTATATCCAATGCAAATTTTCTAGTTGCTAGAAATATTTGGACGTAATAGAACCTTTTTTTAAATTTTAACATTTATTTGTATATATTTGTGAGAGTATAGTATGTTGTTTCAATATATACATTTACTGTAAACTGATTCACTTAGGATAGATACAATAGAACCTTTTGCTAGAACTAATTTATGGTAACAGGAACGATCAAACTGTAGAGATGCTTTCTTTCAATTTCTATGTAATGGTATTAAAGTTCCCAACTGGTAACAAATTTATTTGCTTTGTTGAGTTTTCATTTCCAGGCCTCTTTAAGGTATTCATGTATGCAAAGACAGGATTATGTAGGTTTCTTTTGGGGAGGGGGCCGGGGCAACCTTTATTGGTAAGTTTCTTAGGTTTCTGTGGTAGTTTTGATAGATCAAATACAGTAGTTACCCCTTATCTGTCTGCAGTTTTGTTTTCTGAGATTTCAGTTAACCTGTGGTCAACTATGGTTTGAAAGTATTAAATGATGCAACTTGAGTTATTGTTAGAAAAAAATTAGAAAATATTAAATAGAAAATTTCAGAAATAAACAGTTCATAAATTCTAATTTGTGTGTTGTTCTGGGTTGTGTGATGAAATCTTACTGTCCTGCTCAGAAAGTGAATCATCTGTTTTTCCAGTGTCTCCATGCTGCAGACGCTCCTAGCCTGTTAGTCACTTAGTAGCCCTCTCGGTTATCATATTGACTGTCATGGTAGGTATCACAGTGCTTGGGGTCAAGTCACTCTTATTTGGCCTCATAATGGACTCAAAGTACAGAAGTAGTTAAGCTGGTGATTTGGATGTGCCAAAGAGAAGCCATAAAGTGCTGCCTTTATGGGCTGGCCCATGGGTCACTTGGGAGAGTATGGTGCTGGTAACACCAAGGCCACAGGTTCGGATCCCTATATAGGAATGGCCGGTTAGCTCACTTGGGTGAGCATGGTGCTGACAACACCTAGTCAAGGGTTAAGATCCCCTTACCGGTCATCTTTTAGAAAAAAAAAAAAAAAAAGTGCTGCCTTTAAGTGAAAAGGTGAAAGTTCTCAATAAAGACAAAAATTGTATGTTGTGGTTACTAACATTTACGGTAAGAATAAATTTACCTGTGAAATTATGAAGAAGGAAGAAGAAATCGTGCTAGTTTTGCTGTCATATCTCAAACTGCAAAAGTTACAGCCAAAGGGGAAAACATAGTATACATAGGTTCAGTGGTATTTGAGGTTTCAGGTATCCACTGGGGGTCTTGGAAGGTATTCCCCTGCAGATAAGGGAGGACTACTGTATTTTTGTAACAAAATTGTTATATACTGTAACTTTTTCTTCATGCCCTCCCTCCGCCTCACACGCTCCTTTCTCCCCAAAGAAAGCTAGGCAGTGATGATAACTAAACAAAACCTACTTTAGCTGTTACTGTTTCATTGCTAGGGTTAATTCTCCATGATATTCGAGGTATTTCAGGTCCTAGGGAAATGTAAAATAAAACAGAATTATGTAGCCAATAGACACTTGGAACATTTTCTAACGAAAACTTAAAAATATATGGCATAGTATGTACTTTTGGCCAGATTAATACAACCACAAGAAACCCCTGTCTCCAGCACAGGGTAACTATTGATTGTCCTTTATGATATAAACTTTCCTTTCTTTGCTTTTCCTGTCAAAACTCTTCTCCTTATGAGTCAGTCTATAATTACCCTGTGCTGACTATCCAGTGTGCTCATTCTGGGTTTGGGTGTTAACAGAGAGACAATGGTGGCCATGTGTACTTGTGCACCTGTAACTACCTGCATCATCTCAGCACAGCATTGATGCTGAAATAGATGCAGTAGGCAATCCAAAGATGCAAGACACCTAGAAATTATAAGTACTACCCAACTGTGCATGCCCCCCCAATACACATAATTAGAACCATGCTATTTTTTAGTCTCTCTAATAGGATTCTTAGCATCTTTTATCAGGCTGAAGTCTTCTCTTCTTTAGCCTTGTTTACTCTACTCCAATTGCTTACCTGTATTTTCACAATAAAGTCTTTTATTGGATTTTTGGGGGAAAGGGGGCAGCTGGCTGGTACAGGCATCTGAACTCTTGACCTTGGTATGATCAGCACCAAGTTTTTTAAAAACTGGAATCATACTATATCATTCTCTAAACCAACCCTTTCAATGACTTATAATAAAATTCAAAACCTTTACTGTTCATGATCTGTTTTCCTCCCACTTCTCCAACCTCTTTCCATACTATGCTCTGCCTCGATTACCTGCCCGGAACCTGGCCTTGTCTTTTACTTGTAACAGTTCCGGTTTACCCTAAAACTGTAGGGATAATTCTTCAAGTAAGACATTAGCCAAATGGAATTATTTGTAAGCCTTGCCTATACTATTTTTGTTTTAAGCACATTATTGTTAGTAGTCTGGGTCCCTTGTATGCTAGTTTCTCAGTAACACTTCAATTTGTGCAGCCTCTCGTTTTTCCAACCTTACTATAGTTTTTTACTTGCTTATGTATCACCTTCTTCTTCCCCACAGGAGCTTTGAAAATAAATCCTTCACTTTGTCCTTTTAAGTAATTGTCTTATGCAGTAGGGGATTTCTATTTCAGACTTTCTGGAAACTAAGCAAGCAATCTCAGACTTGGATAGAGGTATTATGTCTCAAACTATGTATTCTGTGTTCGGCCATTATAAAGCTCTCCCTTAAGAGGAAAGTTTGTCTGAATAGCACATTTATTTGAATTATTCGATTTTATCAGTAAATTTGGAAGTACAATAATCACAACAATTTTGTTATGATTATCAATTGCTACAGTATTAATAGTGTATTTCTATCATGTAATTAGATTAGGAAACTATAGGGACTACATAGAACAAATATTTTAAATACATACCCACATTGATTCAATGTCAAATGTACCCTGATTTCAAAAACATTAAAATATTATTTGAAATCAAGTAAATGCACCTTTAAGCCCATTAGTTGTCTTGATAACCAAAGTAGTTTGAGAACTTTTAATAACACAGCAGCGTCTTTCTTAGCATATTTTAACACTTTTGATGGGATTAGTTATCTACTTATTGGATAAACTTTTTTTAATGCAAAGATTTGTTAGGTTGAAAGTAGGTAAGATTAATAATTGGAGAGTATACTAGAAGTTGAAATAATCATTAACCCATGTTTGTTCTTCTCTCTTTACCTTGTGTGTTTTAGCATATTTTAACACTTTTGATGGGATTAGTTATCTACTTATTGGATAAACTTTTTTTAATGCAAAGATTTGTTAGGATGAAAGTAGGTAAGATTAATAATTAGAGAGTATACTAGAAGTTGAAATAATCATTAACCCATGTTTGTTCTTCTCTCTTTACCTTGTCCTCTTCTCATCTCTGGCACATTGTCAGCAACCCTGAAGAGATTAGCAAGTTTTGAGGAAAATGAATATGAGTTTAGGAACATGTGGATTTGCTTCGTGTGAACATTTAAGTTTACATTTAGCTTTGTGTTATTTATTCACTAGCTAGCTAAATGAACCAAAATCTATTTTATGGAAATTAAAACCTTTCAACATATGTAATCTTCAGGTATGTTTCCTTTTTACTCAGTTATCAAGTAAATTGCAATGATAGAAATAGAAAAACTGAAATTTGAAGCTGGCCTCTTGAGGTATATTGAGTTTTATAAATGCTGGGAGAAGCAGATTAGCTTGAATTTATTCAATATAGTCATTCAACCTTGTTAGTGTCAGAGAGCATATAATCCGTATTAAACTTTTAGGTTTTACTTGTTTCTCTTTTTAGATATAAAGAGAGAAGGTTCACACAAAAATATCTTTCACACCATATTATTAGGTTTAAGGAGGATAAATTGCCTAAATATTATATTTGGTATATTTATGATTGCATCTGTAATTTTTAAAAAATTTTTAATACTATATGTAATTTTTAAGTCCTGTCATTGAATCTACCAGAGAAGATTCTTCAAGCTTAGTTGCTGAACTTCAAGAAAAGCTTCAAGAAGAAAAAGCTAAGTTTCTAGAACAACTGGAAGAGCAAGAAAAAAGAAAGAATGAAGAAATGCAAAATGTTCGGACATCTTTGATTGCTGAACAACAGGTATGTACCTCTGTCCCATTTCATTCATTTAAAATTTAAAGAAGGTAGACGTAAATTAACAAATATGAGTATAATTTTTTGTGCATAGCTGAAGGTTTCTTATATCTCAGATGTGGTTTTCCTTACATTGGCCCTGTTAATATTTATTAAATATCTTACTTCGTGATAAAAGCATGTATTTTTATTTTTTTCAATTTGAAATAGTAATTATGTCACATGACAATCTCAGGTGCTTCAAGACGAAATAGAATTAGATTAAAGATGAGGAAATGTGAATTTGGTTTCTGGTTTCATCACTATCTGTGTGGTCTCAGGTAGATCATTAAACCTCTTTAGAACTAAGATTAGTTTTCTATAAAATGATGGTGTTTATACTACCACATAAATGATTTTTAAATTTTTTTCTAAGCTCTAGAATTTCATTATCCTAAATTACATGCTGATCAATGCAGAATTTTCATTTTCTTTCTATAATTCTTATCCATTATGATAGGCTGGTGGTATATTAGAATGGAATATTGTTGAACTTTACTAATTCACTTATTCATTATTGTTGGCCAGTCATAAGAGGTAGTGCTTGTAAGGTAAGTGGAGGCTGATCACCAAGGACCAGGATGCCTTCTTAGGGAGTTTTACTTCACCTAAAGCACTAGACAACTATTAAAGAGAAAATAAAGGAATGACATAATTGGATCAACAGTTAGTGAAGATCGCCCACTGGAACATGGAGGACTGCAGGGCAAGTAGTTATTGGAGCCATTGGGTGGTTTCTGCTGTCTTTCAGGCCAGTGATAATATTGACATTTATTTTTTTATCCTTAGAGGTAAGTTTCTGAAACTGCACGTTACAATTGATATAAACATTTCATATTATGTGGTACCTTTTTTTATCCTAAAATGTTATGATTAATTAGTATCTTTTTTAGAATTTGAAAAATTATATATCAGGGAACAGAAAGAAAATAAGGAAGTGTATTTTCCAGAAGGGGTTTACCCCTTAGGAACTTTAGATTGTTAAGGCTCAGGAAAAGAAAGAGGGGCCTAGAAAAGGGGAATGAGAAAGAGCAACAGAAAAAAGAAGAGTGTGACTTGATGGAAACCAAAGAAAGTAAATGTTCAGGGAGGGGGAGTTGCCAACAGTTTTAAGTAAGAATTATCACCAAAGAGGTCTTTAGAGACATCTCTGTTTTTAAGAATCTAAATTTAGGGACCGGCCTGTTAGCTTAGTTGGTTACAGTGTGGTGTTGTAACACCAATGTCAAGAGTTCCGATCCTCCTACAGGCCAGTCACCCCCCACCGCCCAGCCCCCAAAAAGCCTGAATTTATAGATTCTTTTATATGATTCATTCTACATATAATTAATCTCTTTCTTTCTCTTGCTGTTTCTCCATGTGCNATTAGTTGTCTTGATAACCAAAGTAGTTTGAGAACTTTTAATAACACAGCAGCGTCTTTCTTGTGTTTTAGCATATTTTAACACTTTTGATGGGATTAGTTATCTACTTATTGGATAAACTTTTTTTAATGCAAAGATTTGTTAGGATGAAAGTAGGTAAGATTAATAATTAGAGAGTATACTAGAAGTTGAAATAATCATTAACCCATGTTTGTTCTTCTCTCTTTACCTTGTCCTCTTCTCATCTCTGGCACATTGTCAGCAACCCTGAAGAGATTAGCAAGTTTTGAGGAAAATGAATATGAGTTTAGGAACATGTGGATTTGCTTCGTGTGAACATTTAAGTTTACATTTAGCTTTGTGTTATTTATTCACTAGCTAGCTAAATGAACCAAAATCTATTTTATGGAAATTAAAACCTTTCAACATATGTAATCTTCAGGTATGTTTCCTTTTTACTCAGTTATCAAGTAAATTGCAATGATAGAAATAGAAAAACTGAAATTTGAAGCTGGCCTCTTGAGGTATATTGAGTTTTATAAATGCTGGGAGAAGCAGATTAGCTTGAATTTATTCAATATAGTCATTCAACCTTGTTAGTGTCAGAGAGCATATAATCCGTATTAAACTTTTAGGTTTTACTTGTTTCTCTTTTTAGATATAAAGAGAGAAGGTTCACACAAAAATATCTTTCACACCATATTATTAGGTTTAAGGAGGATAAATTGCCTAAATATTATATTTGGTATATTTATGATTGCATCTGTAATTTTTAAAAAATTTTTAATACTATATGTAATTTTTAAGTCCTGTCATTGAATCTACCAGAGAAGATTCTTCAAGCTTAGTTGCTGAACTTCAAGAAAAGCTTCAAGAAGAAAAAGCTAAGTTTCTAGAACAACTGGAAGAGCAAGAAAAAAGAAAGAATGAAGAAATGCAAAATGTTCGGACATCTTTGATTGCTGAACAACAGGTATGTACCTCTGTCCCATTTCATTCATTTAAAATTTAAAGAAGGTAGACGTAAATTAACAAATATGAGTATAATTTTTTGTGCATAGCTGAAGGTTTCTTATATCTCAGATGTGGTTTTCCTTACATTGGCCCTGTTAATATTTATTAAATATCTTACTTCGTGATAAAAGCATGTATTTTTATTTTTTTCAATTTGAAATAGTAATTATGTCACATGACAATCTCAGGTGCTTCAAGACGAAATAGAATTAGATTAAAGATGAGGAAATGTGAATTTGGTTTCTGGTTTCATCACTATCTGTGTGGTCTCAGGTAGATCATTAAACCTCTTTAGAACTAAGATTAGTTTTCTATAAAATGATGGTGTTTATACTACCACATAAATGATTTTTAAATTTTTTTCTAAGCTCTAGAATTTCATTATCCTAAATTACATGCTGATCAATGCAGAATTTTCATTTTCTTTCTATAATTCTTATCCATTATGATAGGCTGGTGGTATATTAGAATGGAATATTGTTGAACTTTACTAATTCACTTATTCATTATTGTTGGCCAGTCATAAGAGGTAGTGCTTGTAAGGTAAGTGGAGGCTGATCACCAAGGACCAGGATGCCTTCTTAGGGAGTTTTACTTCACCTAAAGCACTAGACAACTATTAAAGAGAAAATAAAGGAATGACATAATTGGATCAACAGTTAGTGAAGATCGCCCACTGGAACATGGAGGACTGCAGGGCAAGTAGTTATTGGAGCCATTGGGTGGTTTCTGCTGTCTTTCAGGCCAGTGATAATATTGACATTTATTTTTTTATCCTTAGAGGTAAGTTTCTGAAACTGCACGTTACAATTGATATAAACATTTCATATTATGTGGTACCTTTTTTTATCCTAAAATGTTATGATTAATTAGTATCTTTTTTAGAATTTGAAAAATTATATATCAGGGAACAGAAAGAAAATAAGGAAGTGTATTTTCCAGAAGGGGTTTACCCCTTAGGAACTTTAGATTGTTAAGGCTCAGGAAAAGAAAGAGGGGCCTAGAAAAGGGGAATGAGAAAGAGCAACAGAAAAAAGAAGAGTGTGACTTGATGGAAACCAAAGAAAGTAAATGTTCAGGGAGGGGGAGTTGCCAACAGTTTTAAGTAAGAATTATCACCAAAGAGGTCTTTAGAGACATCTCTGTTTTTAAGAATCTAAATTTAGGGACCGGCCTGTTAGCTTAGTTGGTTACAGTGTGGTGTTGTAACACCAATGTCAAGAGTTCCGATCCTCCTACAGGCCAGTCACCCCCCACCGCCCAGCCCCCAAAAAGCCTGAATTTATAGATTCTCTTATATGATTCATTCTACATATAATTAATCTCTTTCTTTCTCTTGCTGTTTCTCCATGTGCTCCTTTGTGAGCACATATTCAATTTAATATTTCCAAAATTAAGTAGGGGATGAATTAACTGATTGAAACCAGATTTATAAAACCAACAACTGTCTAATTTAGTTCCTTTTTTTTTGACAACTGGCTGGTATGGGGATCTGAACCCTTGACCTTGATGTTACAACATAGTTTCTTATATTTTAAACCCAATTTTATATTTGTAAAATGAAATTAGGAGTGATGACTTCTAAGTTACCTTCCAGTTTTCAATAGTGTGTATGTTGAGTGGTGGTTATTTAAGGTGATTTGTACCTACCTTTGTACAGGTGACTTCTGAGTTGGGCCTATTTGTTTCTCATCTTAACTAGCCTTTGTTTTTAATATGCCTGCTATAAATTGTAATAATCTTCCTAAAAACTCATTTTATATTACAGAAGTAGCAAAGATCATGTAAATAACCATAATGGTTAATCTGCTTTTACAAAATTTATTAATTTTCCATATATAAACAATATATGTAGAAATGGCTTAATACAAAGCCATATCATAAATGTTCCTTTTTGAGTGATCTTTCAGTATGCTTTCTGGGTAGAAATGATGTTTAATTAAATATTTAATGAATTTATTAAATTTTAATCTAAAAATGCTGTATTCTTTTCACATTAAAATCTCCCTATTGTCGGCATTATTGGCATTATTTATTGATCCAAGGATGATAAAGCTCTCAAAATTTTGAAATTGGAAATGCTGGGCAGATGGGAAGAGTCAATTTAGATCATTTCATCACTTATCTATAGCTCTTACATTCCAAGGAGATCACCTTAATGAAATATTATAAATGAAATTTTTAATAAAATCAGTCATCTTTATAAAAGAAACTCCATGCAGTTAAAACTACCAGATTGTCTCATGAGATCTATGCATGCAGTTGAATATCATGAGCTTTATCGTAAGAAAATTTATAAGGTTAGGGGTTAATAAATCTAGACAATATAAATCAAAGGTCATTATAAATATCCAAATAAGACATAGAAACAGGCTATAGGGCCATCCATCTGTACCATCCAACTATATACTATGTATAGGAGAAGCACCTAAAGCAAAATGATACAGAAGGTATTTACTTTATCCAGAATTTCAAAATCATTTGCAAACAATAAGTGTATGGACAATAATGAGAAAATAGAATATGTTTTCAAGATATTAAGTTAGAAGAAAATATAACCTTTACCATAGTACATAGCATTTTTATTTAAAAATAAACATTCGTCAGTCATACTATATCATCTCCACGTACAAATGCATCTCAGAAAAGAGTATTTGCAAGTTTATTTTCTTAGCCCTAGCTATTAAGTGCATTCACATAATTTAAGTAGTTATTATTCTTTTTTCCAGACCAATTTTAACACTGTTTTAACAAGAGAGAAAATGAGAAAAGAAAACATAATAAATGATCTTAGTGATAAGTTGAAAAGTACGATGCAGCAACAAGAACGAGATAAAGGTTAGTACTGTTTTGTAATATATTTTTAATTCCTTTTTAAAGTGAAAAAATATATCCATGCAAAATGTTTTTTTCACTTTGTAAGGTTTATTTCAATTTGGGGTTCTTTCAGATCTGATAGAGTCACTTTCTGAAGATCGAGCTCGTTTGCTTGAGGAAAAGAAAAAGCTTGAAGAAGAAGTCACTAAGCTGCGTAGTAGCAGTTTTGTTCCTTCGCCTTATGTAGCTGCAGCGCCAGAACTTTATGGAGCTTGTGCACCTGAACTCCCAGGTGAAACAGATAGATCGACCATGGAAACAGCAGATGAAGGAAGAGTAGACTCAGCAATGGAGACAAGCATGATGTCTGTACAGTAAGTATGTCTGTTTCAAATGTTATTTAAGGCTTTAAAACCACTAGTGCAATTCCATAAGTTACAAAGGTCTGAAAAAAAGAAAGATTTTTCACATTACTGGTTGTCCACAGCTCAAATATCTGAAAGTTGTACTATTTTATTTTTTTATTTATAGGTTTTTTTTTTGGTGGCTGGCCAGTAAGGAGATCCAAACCCTTAACCTTGGTGTTACAAAGCAGTGCTCTAACCAACTGAGCTATCCAGCCTAGTTGTGCTATTTTAATTGTTTAAGCTGTAGAAGTGAGGAATAATTTTAACATTACTGAATGAATCATTTTGAGATGTGTTTTTATACTACACATAGTATGTACAACAAAATTTTCCTAGGCTACCAGGATGAGGATCACTGCAGTAGTGTTGAGCCATTCTTAAACAAGGAGTGTTTAAATTTGGAAGCTCATTACCTAGGAAGATTAAGTGGTTACCATAATAATGAATATATTCATTTTGGTGGGAGGGTGTTTGGTAGGGAAAGGCAGGGGAGTTTTTCGAAAAGTAGAATATATTTAGGTGTCTGTTTCAAGGAAAAGTACTAGAAATGGGTTACCTTTAGACATGGAAAGGTATAATTCTTAAGAATATATTAAAAATAAAAAATGGAACAAATAAAGTATGATTTAAATGCAAGTTATAAACATATCAAGAAAACATGGTAATTAGAAAATATAATTGACAGAAATAAGTTTAGACATATGTGAAAAAGTAAATTAACCTATCAAAACCTCTCAGGAAAAAAAAAATCCAGCTGTATCATGTATAGGACAGGCAACTAAAGCAAAATGATACAGAAGGTACAAACAAAAATGTAGAATGAAGAGAGGGATATAACCACAGGTATGGTTTTAAAAATTATGGAGAACAGGATATAAATTAATCTTTCTTGTGATGTATAAATGCAAAGAATCCTAAAGACAATTTTAGCATATCAAATGCCATGCACTTTTAAGATGATACAGTGGAGTATTTCTCCACTATGGAGATATTTTCATCATGACTCAGTGGAGTATTTCAGAAATGCACAACTAATAGCCAAACAGTAGGATATGAGGGTACTTCAAAACGTTCGTGGAGGGCCGACCCTGTGGCTCACTTGGGAGAGTGCGGCGCTGGGAGCGCTGAGGCTGCGGGTTCGGATCCTATATAGGAATGGCCCGTGCGCTCACTGGCTGAGCGCGGTGCGGGCGACACCAAGCCAAGGGTTACAAGCCCCTTACCGGTCTCTCTCTCACACACACACACACACACACACACACACACACACACACACACACACACACA